GGTGCACCACGTGGAGGTAAGTCTATCACGCACCCCATAAACAAACTTATGTAGGTCAAAATAAAGTTGATTAAAACATATTAATTAATTAATTTTTTTAAATTAGATGCTCTTAGAATTAAGTACTCTGAGGTAAAGATTACATTGTTGAAAAAGAAAATAGCTAACCTTATTGGGACTTTCCTCTATTGTTTTATCTTTATAAAATGAAGAAAATCTTCTTTTTTGCTATTTAAATCATGAATCAGAAGTTAAAGCAAATATTTTCTTACTTCAGATACTCTCAAGTTCTTTCTGCTCTTGCAGCTGATGTGATTCTCTTCAATTCAGCATATAATATGAATAGTTTCTATGAGCGCGTGCCGGCTTTTCTGACCTCAGGTCTTCCCACTCCACCAAGTCCACGCATGCCAAATCCTCGAAGGTTGGTAGAGGAGCTTTTGAAGCCGAAATCAAGAGTTCTCTACTTCCCTGTTGAACCACCTCCATTGGAAAGGATGTTGAGTGAGGAAATCCTCCAAGATGCAATCCTACTGCAAGCGGAGAGAATTAAGGCTCGCGGAAAAGAACCCTTGAGGATCTTGTGGAATCATAGGTACTTCAACTATTACCGATACTTTATAGTTTAATACAGACAACTTTAAGCCACTTGTACGTATCTCAGTAAAACAATTATTCATTCGTAACCTGATTGATGTAGTAGGAATTTGATCAATACGTCCCCTTGTGCTTGGCCAATTTGGTCTTAATTAGTGAGCGACATGTAGTAGGCGTTGCACTTTGCCTTCGTCGAAAGTGAATTTCAATTTTAGTTCTAGCCGTCCTTGGATAATGGAAAAGCACATAAGACTGGTACTGACGGTCTTGGTCAGCGATTGGAAATGTGTTAAGTTACTGGAATTGCACGTATTGTAAATATATTTCCCTAATCTGATGACCGATGGCAATCAGTCCTGTCTGATTCGGTCCCATAATAGTTGATGATTTAGCGCTAGATAAAGGAGACAGTGGGGACTTTGTCTGCTTTCATTATATATTAACCATCATTCGTTACTCGGTCCCCCTTATATATACTTCCTTTGAATAGTCCATATGCAAATAAATTTAATCTGTGTTTTCATCGTCCGTTTGGCCTTCGCTGATCTAAATATTTCATTTTAGATGGGACTACGATAAAAATCCAACTGACTTTTTTCGAGTTATATTTAACCTTGCCGGTATTAGTGTCGACGAAGACTTTTTCGATCTCGGTAAAAGTACTGTAAGACCTTCTGTGGGGATTACAAACAGTGCTTCTGCTGAAACAGAACCCCGACCATTATCTCCAAAGCGAGTAAGCTGAAGGCTGAAAAATTGTTTCTTGCTAAGTTAGACCAAATATTTAACATGCTGACTTTATTTTCAAGACACCCCCAAACTTTCAGTTAATAGTGATTGGTGGGACGACACAAGATACTCCACGAATATTTCATATGGCCAAACCACTTCTTGCAGCAAAGGGACTCATCAATACTTGGGGTTATCTTGAATCCCGAGACGACTACTGGAAAGCTTTGGCTGATAGCGATGTTGTCGTCTCCACAGCAAATCATGAATTCTTTGGAGTTTCGGTGGTTGAAGCAGTCTCTGTAGGCTGTGTTCCCCTCCTCCCTCAGAGACTGGCTTATCCCGAGTTGGTGAAAGAGCCTCTTTGTCTTTATCGCACACTACCGCAAATGGAAAAGCAGTTGAGGAAGTGGATCATCGCTCCTGATAGGCTAAGAGTGGATTTGGCAAATGCGTTTCTAGCAAATTGTCAAAAAGGAGAATCGAGCAGCAAACTCTGGCTTAAGGAGGACATTAATTGGCTTAAATGTCTCAAGCAGAAGTATCTGGATTTTTCTGTGGAACTGGAATGAGACTTGTATGTAATTCACGTTGTAAATACTAATACTTATCGAATTTAAGTTTTGTGACATATTATCTTATAAAATTTGATTAATTTTATCAAAATTCTGGTTGGCTGTGTTTGGTCGATTTTTGGGCGTACATTGCTCCTTCCTGTTCATCTATCTTTAGTGAATGGTTCTGAATGCAATCTATTCGGTGGGGATATTACCAGCGATCACCAACTATCAAGAAAGGTGTCCTTAGATTTATGCCTTTATTTACAAGTTGTTTTTGAATAAAAGTCCAACTAAGCATTTTTCTTAATTATCTCTGGGTTTAAATTAACTTCAGTCCTAATATTGGTTAGTTGTTGGTATTAGATACACTAAATTGGTTCCAACTTTTTTATCTTATATGTTTTCTAAGGCATTACGGATTAATGTTAGTATGAAGCATGGATAATTACTAAGGAAGGTGGATAATTGCAAAAATGTTTAAAGGGAAATTTTATAGATAGCTAAATATTTTACTACCTTTAAGAGAAGTAGTAAAGGTACAAACTCTTAATTCTCATAAGTGCATTTGAATAAATATCCAATGTATTCACTCTGTAATTTTGCCATAATCAACTAGCTTCTTCAAGATTATGCCTATTATATCCGAAAACATAGACCAGAACGTATTTCGTAGTACTTAATTGATGTACAGTTATTTTCATTAAAATGAGGTAATTTGTGGTTTTCCCGACGAAACTTTTTCGCAGATCTACTTGGTGCTTAAAGATCTGGTCGAACCGCGCAAAGATTTTAGGTAAGTAAGCCAGATTTTCAAGTACCTACCGCATTTTAAACGCTTTTTCACCAAAATATCATAATATAAAGGGCTCAGTTAGTAAAAGCGTATAAGTTATTTAAAGCAGTTATTATTAATGAAATGCCTGAGTCAGTTAAACGGGAATTAAGACGTCAGATAAAGCCTAACATCCGCTATAGTCCAGTGAAAAGTAACACAACCAACTCTGTCCAGCAATAGGATTTCATCTTCGCATTAATGCTGAACTTTCGATGAAAGTAGTTTATAATTTCATGGATAATTAACCATTGTTTTGTGTTCTTAGTTCTCTCGTATTCGTTTGACATCAGTAATACGGCAGATATCGAATAAATTTTAACGTACACATGGAATCGAAGGAAGAAACTCGGATAGGAATTTGCACACAGTAAATCTTCATAACCCTTTATTAAGTAAACATAAAATAGGGAGTTGGAATAGACGAGGAACAAACCATAATGAAAGTACAGCTGTGGAATATATAGATCACAATTTTAAGCGATTATTCATTTAAAAGCTCAAAGTATATTTTCCAAAGTTAATTTAGTCGATTAAAATCAGAACTGTTTCTTTCAATAGTAACAAATAAAAATGTAATATAATGGTAATTCAGTGCTAGATTAAGTCGCCGGATATTAACAAGACATTACTGAAATATAAATCAAACAAAATGAATGTTTAGTAAAAAATGAAAATATTTGAATTATATAAATTTGTGAGATGAAAAGTGGGGAAAATTAAAAAAAGATCAGTACTTTTTCTTAATCTAAAACTACGCTTAAAATATTTTATTAGAAAATTATGCATAATTAACTAATAAATGCTTGAGTCCAAATAGAAAATCGTTCTTATTTTGCATTACTTTTGAAATTATATTTAAAACTGATTGGGCTGATTCTTAACCAATGGGCTTCGTGTGAGTCACCCCTAATTAGCTGTCTAATCTTCACCTCATGTATGGCTGTCGTAAATGCGAATTTTGTACATAGTGGCGGGGAGTTTCTAAATACAATGTCTACAGGTGTTGGTCAAAATATATCAAATGCTCAGTTATATCCCCTGCAACCCAACAATACGATTGTTAAATTAGAAGATCCTAACGTCTTCGCATTAAAAGTTGAAAGTCCTTCCACACCCTCCGATAAGGTTGTCTTTCCTCCTGAATTTAATCAGCAGCAACAAAGAACTTCCTCTCCATCAAATTCCAACGAGAACAATGCTAACAATGGTTTCGCCTGTGAAGTCTGCGGGAAAGTTTGTGAAAGTGTAGGTTTTATTTCAATATTTGACTCCCGACTTTAGCGATTCCTGTTAACCAAACACAAAGTATCTCATCAACCCCGTGATAGACTTTGTCCTACATGTGGTCGAGCCTTCGCGCGTGATGATAAACTCAGGCGTCATGTTATGAGCGTTCATTCGTCAGAAAGACCACATGTTTGCGAAATGTGTGGAAAGGGTTTTGCAAGAAAGTAGGTTATCATTGTAGCACCATATAGCATACATTATTCAAACATTTCTATCATCTATTCTGGTTTACCTTCTTTAGAGATAAACTCCAAGAGCATGCAAGGCACCACAATAAGAACATAACATTTCCATGTACCGCTTGTGAAGAGAATTTCAATATGCGCTCTAAGTTAAACAAACATCTTCGGGAGGTCCACAATATTCGACAATCCACTCGATTATCTAAGGAGTCTGGCAAAGCTTTGTGTAAGAAAAAGAAGGCACGGAATTCCGAATCCTTAACCCAGGCCACTGTCGCTCCAGTAAATAATTTGACGACGGGTATTTTTCAAAATCCTTCAAATTTTCTCTGGTGTCAACGACAACCCCAGAATACTTCTAGTACCAGTGCCTTCGATTTCTGGAATGCTCAAAATCATGCTCAATTATACACTCAGCAATACGGTTATAACCATCTTTACTATGCTGCAGCCGCTATGAGACAAAATCCACAACAATCAAGTGCCTTAGCCGCTCATATGTTCTCTCAGGTTAGTTTGTCATCTTTTCTCGTTTCTTCAATTTACTTCTTTTGGTAATTAATGTCCATAATTCTTTGTATTTATAGGCAGCCGCTTCAAATCCAACTCTTTTGCAGGCAGCAGCGTCGGGTTATTGGCCTACAAATTTCGGAACAGCGGCAACTGCTCATTCATCCACCACTACAGATGCTCAACTAGCATCGGTTATGTCTAGCGGGTCATCACAACAAGTAACTCAACAGGTTACGTTTAATAACGGGAACTATTCAAATAATACAAATACATCAAGCTCTTATCAAACTCCAGGGAACTACTATAATGCGGCATCGTTGGCAGCAAGACTCGGACAGAGTCAGTCTCATACCAATCAAACCAATCCTGCGATTTCTTACGGCTACAATCAATAGATATTCAATCTGCACTTCCTCTCGAATGAAATTATTTTTGGATGTATTTTATCTGTGTATTTGTGACTCGACCACACTTTATGTTTTTTATGTAACCTACAAAACTGTACTATCCGATATGCGTAAAATCCCGGTAAATTCCACAAAAGTTAGTGGTTTTTGATACTTAATGGTAATACAATAGATGTGAGGCTACAATACGCATCAGGAGGTTGGGCTCGCGGTTCCCGCTACATGGACCTCGTTTGTCTGATACTAGATCATGTTGAAAATTTTAAAAGACCCATTGGCTAGGTCGAATATAAATCCTTATTAGAGCTGGAGCTTGAGACGCAAGCGGATAAACAATTCTTAAATTAGCATAGTATTTGAAAGAATGAGTCAGGTAACAAAAACGTTAAACCAATGTCATTTGCTATTAACAGATAGCGATGTTGACTAACAAACTTATTCAAATTCGACCACTTCATTTGAGACAGCAACCAACATGATACAAATGTGCAGATTAAGTTGGATTCAAGAATGAGCTTTATTATGCGGACTAGATACTCAATTTGACCAATATTGATCAAACTAAGGGTATTGAAGAATGGCACAACAAAGGTCAAATCGATAACTCTGGGACCATTTTTTGAATAAAGTTCAACACAGATAAATCGCGAGAACAGCAATTAAATAGCTACTTCACTTACAAATTATAATTCTAACAGAGGAAATTAACAATTATCTGTAACTTCTGATAGAAGATCTAATTTTCTGACAAGAATTCATTAAGATCTGAATTACAACCGAAAATGGACAGACTGGAAAAAGTATAAACCGAACACACTTAAGCAAAAATTACAAGAAAAATTTCATAATAACTTATTTACTTACTAAATCAGCAGTTTGTACATGATCATGCAAGGGGATTCAACCTACTTATTTTTGTCGAACATTGGGTCACGGTTGTATTTCAATTTGGGCGAAGTTAAAACATCTTGCCAATTATTAGGTACTTCTTCGGCGGTTATGGCCCCCAGACGTCTCTCTAAACGGACTTCGTCAAACGTCTTGCTTGGTGTTGCGGAGGAACTTGAAAGGCGCTCGGGACTGCGAAGTTTGGATTCTAGACTGAAGCCAATGAACCCAACAACTGCAGCAAAAGGGAGTGCAATATAGGGTAAATTGACGCGCAAGAATTGGACAACCACAGGCCACATTTACTACCTAAACAAATATGAATTCCATTAAAGTCTATTAAAATTATGTTTATTGAACGTGCACAAAACTAGCAATATATCATCGACAGCCTCATGATACCTATTAAAGGTTAATTGTAACAACCAATCACTGCAGACTAAAAATTCCCGTGATCAACTAAAAGCGAGGGAACATTTTGTCTATTAAGTACGATAATAAATATTCTTGAATGCCGAGAAATTGAAATTTTTCTTTTCTTGTAGAATTTGATCAAATTTATTTATTGTTTCACTTTAGTTTCAAAATAAACTAAATTAGAGAAAATAATTTTTTCATATTATTGAAGTTAAATATGTTAATTAGATTGTAGTTACTTAACTAATTAAACGAGTATTGTAGCACAATTTAGTGAGCAAATCATGAACCTATCTATAATATACTGATTCTAAAGTCTTCTCCTGAAGTGCATTTTATATCAAAACCCCACATTGCAAGCGCATTATAAGAGAGTTTTCAGACAATTTAATTCAAGCTTTTCTATAGGGTTAAATTTGTACATCGTTTGAAGACAACTGTTGTTTACCTAATCTCCGTTTTCGAAAACTATCCACTTCTCATTTTCAGTAACAACCCAGCTTGCAAATGCTCGAAAAAGTGGAGCTCTCACCTTTGTCATATTTAAGAGTTGATGTGTCGTCACCCCCACTTTCCCACCCTATTTAATTTACCGATTTGGTTCAAGTGTGATTTCTCAGTTAAACATGGAGATGAGAATTTCTGCGTTAGTTCTTTCATAGTTCGTTGAGGATCTGATTCGAGCATGGTCATCATGATTTTAAGGTACTGTTTGAAGCTCCAATTCCTAATTAAAATCTTTTAAATCAAAATTGATGTTTGCGGATTGTGATGTCTTCAGTATAAATTGCGGAAATGGTTCTATTAGTCGACTTGAAAGAGATCAAGTACCCCCTCAAGGAGGAAATAAAACTTGGACTTTGGTAGAAAACATTTTAGGTGGAGTTTCCGCTTAGTATCTTGTGCCCACACAGATCAACTGACGCAATTTTAACAATCTCGGATATCCAAGGTGGTATATTGACATTGTAAAATTAGTGCAATCATCATTGTCTTGCCGGTTCCCCCCCCCTCTCGGTGAACAACTATATCTTCATCAGTTAACCCTTATAAGTCTTATTTATAAAAAAAATCGGGTTTCCAACAATTGCATAAATCGTGAAACATGTTTTTATTAATACAATTAATCTGATAATCATTACTACCATCGTTTTCCGAAAATACTCCCATCTGAATAAGCGCCCGTAGGCTATTTTGAACTGAAGCTTGACTCTCAGTAAGGCGCTTATCCGAGTAGGCCGTTATCTGATTTCAAAAAATGGTTCCATGAAATGAAATTTTCCGTTTTACCGCCCCGGGGGCGATTTTCGGAAAACCCCTGTAACTATTGTAAACCCATTCATAAATGCAATTTATATTAATTTAACTTTAATAATAACCCCCAGTTCAAATGGTTTATATATTTATAGCAGAATATTGGCATTCTGTTATAATTGGCCTGAGTGTTGTATTGGCACTCTCTGTTGTACCAAAATATGATTGGTTACACAACGGTCCAACGGATTTATAGTTCATTACTCCGTCAAACAAGGGTATAAGTGTGTATTATGAAAATAATAGATTAAAATGATAGTAGGATTCACTGTGAGTGAGCTCAAATGTCCTCTGCAATATTGAAAACGTGTTTTAAATCCTGGAAATGAAAAGATCTTGATAGTATAAATTTACCACGTGAGTCATCAAATAACGCACTACTTAAATACCACACAACCCTTATAAAAAAACGAAATTACACCCCATTGTATCCTAACTTTATTTCAAACCTTTTCTCTATCCCCTATCCTTCCACTTCCATGAACTATTAACTAATAAGAGATTGCTAGTCCTTCCTACGATAAAACTGTCAGGACAAAGATTTATTATCCATTTTCCTTTGACGAAACTAATCTTTATTTTACATTTCTTCTCATTTGAAAGATGATAAAACATATCAAAATAGAGTTTATAATGAGCATTTCAGCAACCGTAACTTCAAAATTTCAAGTTCGAGGTAATGCAAATTTTTCTCCATAAAGTTGACTATCTCTTGAATAGTCTATGACTATTCGAGACGAACTAAGCCGTATTTTCCAAAATGCCCTCGTCATTTGATTTACCTCAAACACTCCTTGATTGGAGCGTTTTGAAGGTCAATATATTAACGGAAGTCACAAGTTTACTGACTATTCTATTATTTTGATTATTTTTACAATGGTCTAAATATGACCCTTAATGAGCTTTAAATTTTCTTTTTTTCAATAATGACGCATTGACAAGGGTGCTCATCTGCGAAATCGAAGGTCGTGGTCTCCATGCCCATCGGTAAACATAAAGTGAACTGGATGCCCAACGCACCCACTCAGTTTAACACAAAGAAACTGGTGAAATTCTCGCTTCTACTCAAATCAAATAAAGATCCACTTGTTTAACTGTCAACAACTGCCTTCCATGCTTTCTTATTGACAGATAACACGTGGTGATAAATACGCCGTAGTAACAGAATCTCCGCTTGCCTAAAATGGCAGAAAGTTGTAACCATTCTGTTAGTGGAGTCCCACATATAGAATTTGATCCAAGTGAACATGATCACCTCTATATCGATTTGGATAATTTGGGAACTCATTACATGCATACACTTCAACCAGAAACAGGCGTTCCACTTTTTTTGTATGTTGCCATGGAGATGCTTACAAAGTGTGCAATGTCGAGACAAACAGACCTTGCATCAAGTTACGTTAATCTTATTGCCAATACAAATACCAGATTCCCAACTGTTTATAATCCTGCGTGCAAAATTTGCTACCTTGTAGCCTATTTGTATAGGGATTGTAAAGATGAGGAGGAAGCCAAAGAAACCCTGCTGGAAGAGGAAACCATTACTGTATTTGAAGTTAATCGGGAACTATGGACCCGAATAAGACCTAAGCCACTTTATATCAATAAGCATTTTTTGAGATACGTTGACTATATTGATTATCCAATGGCTCTACTTAGTGAAGAGTTCAGATATCCTCTTGAACCTCAAAAAACGCACCGATATGATTTACTACGAAAGAAATTTTATTTATTTGAATGGAGAGATGGATTCTCCTATCTAACCTATTACGCAATAGTGTGCGGAGGGAAACGTGGCAAGGCAGCAGGATACATTTTGGGAAATATGATGTTTTTAGTACAATACCATTTGGCCACTTATTTTAAAGATGATATGGACATAGCGGAAGCACATTACATACTCGAAAAGTTGAGACTGTATCCAGGATCACATAGTATAATTTCCAAATTGTGCAAAGTAATTGGAATCGCAATCTGTGAGCTGGAATTGGAATATGAAACAAAGTCTTTTGTGCCTACACCATTCTACGAAATTCGAGGGAGTGATTGGTATAAGAGCGAGGTTACGAACTGCGTGGCAACTATACTCAGTTTGAATAACTGTTTTGCATTCAAACCCGAGTGGCCCGTCGACTTCTCTTTTACTCACACACCAGATTGTTCAACTCGACCTCACCTCTGCTTTTGCAGATTTATCAAATTTCTAGAACGTACCTACAGATTCCACTATATGTCGATTTAAAAAGTCAACTATACTTGCTGAGTTTGCCTTTCAAATGCCTCGGTTCATTTAACTTAAGGCGTAGTAGTTTATAGTGAATATATCACTAGTTATTGGAATAATATGGTGCTAAAATACGATTTATGAATATTTTGCATTGATTTATTCAGGTAATTAGTCTCAATCTAATCTTGCAATATCAATATTCATTAGTACGCAACCAAAGATACTAACGACCAAGTCCACTCGTTAATCGTGTTAGAAAAAAAATTTGGTTTTTTAGCATTGAAACTCTAGGATATCTCCGCTTAACCTACCTCGATGGGGTCATGGTAGTTTGAAGTGAGAAGTAAACTGCCGATTAATAGACTTTTTGCCTTATGAGTATACGTTGCCCAGAGTGCACCACGTGGAGGTGAGTCTATCGCACGCCTCTCTATCGAGGAAATAGAGCCTTTGGAATGAGGCGTATATATTTTGGTTGTTCTTCAGTGTCGCAAGCTGAGATGACCAGATGATTATCTCCAGTATATTTATTTATTTCAAATGGTAGGCGTTTTGATAGTTATCATTAGCCCTTTAGT